AAAAAAAAAAAACCCGGAGATATGAGAAGGATCCCATTCTCTCATCTTGGGGGCACATACAGAAGAGTGATGCAAATAAGTGAAGTGAAGAAATATCATTCTCTCTTTCTAAATCATTAGTCATTGATAAATATATCCACAAACATGCCTACATTTCTAAGTTCCTTCAAAATGTAGTGTCAGACACTTCGAATTGCATTTCTTAAAAAATCCTAAAAAGAAGGTAGTAAAAAGTATGCAATTGTGCATTAGCACATCAGATATTATACAAAACTCATGGTTTCAGCAAGACTTTCAACTCATGAAGGTAGGACTTGATCCCAAGACCTAGGACCCAACCTCCCAAGCCAATTTGTGAAGTCTAAGTTGGTTGGTATATGATCTCAGTTTGAATAGTTCTACATTTTCTAGTACAAGTGAAGACTTGGCCAAAATGGGAGGTATAAGAGTCACAAGGATTGCCATGAGTCTCAACTTTAACAACCTACTCATGAAACACAGATAAATGCATTACAGCAAGCTAAACATTAGCAAAAAAATAATACACAAACACAACAACATCAACTCGAAGTGCCAAAACTCACATCTTAGAGAATGGAATAAGTGTTCTACACAACAGAACAAAGGAAAGTAGAAATAAAATTAATCAATTTCAAAGAGCTTACTTTCGAAAAAGAAGCCACATAGCTCAGGAGCATGATACCATCAGGTTGCCACATAATCCTTCATAGACAGATCATATATTCAAACACCATTTAACTAAGCACTTCAAGAGAATATAATACACAAAAAATGGACTTGTTCTGATATATAATTCAAGTAACAGAAATAATACAGGAAATGGCATGAACTGAAAATTTGAAATCAGACTCCTGGCTTTATATAAGTAGTTTGATTAGAGAAACAGATCAGACTCTTGGATTGATATATCTCTAAAAGACAAATATTAAACATATTATAACCATTGTCGATAATATGGGGAAAGGATCATCACTTCAATCTTCCTATTCAACTACACAATAACTACATAAACATAAATAAAACCTAGAAATATTAGCAAATTCAAATGCAATCAAGTATTTCAAATAAATATTTGTCTCAGACATCCAAGGAAAGATTAAACTGTACATCATTTCGCTCTTGGGTGGTAACTGCGAATGTTTCTGAGAAACAAGCCTTGAGGATATCATCATTGACGTTTTTTTCTAACAAACTCAATAAAACTAACAATGTATAAACCCTGAATTCTAATAAAACAAGCACCCAGAATGAAAGGGACTACTTTTTAATATAATTTCATAGATTTATTAAATTTTAAACTATAAACTTCTATCCTGATTGTGCCGATTAACAACAGAAGGTATATATACTCACTAAGGATATGAATGTTGTATTTACATCCTACAGAAGGTATATATACTCACTAAAAATGAATATATAACTCTCATGCATTTTATATTAGAAACATTATGCAAGAGCTTCATAAAGTAGGATACTAATTAAAAAATATTATGTTCATACCTTAGAGTCAGATGTGAAATTGAAACACTGAAACAAAATTGTCAAGACCAAAAACACAATCCCAACAACAATGCCCAGTGATTCCGGCCTGCAAAAGATTAAGATGTCACAAACTTACACCTTGCCTATCTCCATTTACAATTGTTGTAATTTAAAATTCAATATAAGAATATGGCAATATAATCAAATAGAATAAGAATTAGGCCTAGAAAGAAGAAGAAGAAGAAGAAGAAACTTACACTTTAATGGCACCTTCAGGAGTACCTTTCTTATTAATGTCATAACCAAATAGATTACGTCTTAATAAGTACTTGGTAGCAATAGGAATCAAAAGAATAGTTAAGAAGAAACCGAAAAAACTGAGAAAAAAGTTAATAACGATGGATCTCTTTAATTCAGGTAAACACTTACCAGTTTGATCTTAAAAGAGACATAAACACGGCGTCAGGTATAATGAACAAGGTACTCACAAACAAGCTCATGATATTAACTGGGATATTCTTATCGAATGTCTTTTTATACTCTTACATTCTAAAAGACACTCTTATATTGATACCTGTTTAGAAGCACTCCCTAGACAAAAACATACATAATGTAGGCCTCTTTTAGTGTACAAAAATTCTAATTGTGTACTTACTTGATCTTTTG